TTGAGTCGGGATGCCAAGGACGAGCACGGAAGGGGGCTGGAGTTGGTGTTCTTGGTTTGTTCACAAGCACTGCACAGGTGCAGAAGGGCATCTGACGGGTAGTGCCGTGGTGTGAATGAACTTGGCGTGCAAATTAAGGAAGCAGGAGGAAGGGAAGTAGCAGCCATTTTGGATTTGGTTGTGCGCTTGAGAAACTCCACCTGAGTGAGGCTTGCTACATCCGGGTCCCCCTGCCCTACGCTCGCGTACATAAACAGGCTAAGATCCACCTAGCTGTCTTCAAGTCTTGAGTCAAAGATCTACAAGTACATGTTAAAAAAAAGCTCATCAGGGCCCGGTGCGGTGGCGCAAGTGGTTAAGGTCCTCGCCTTGCACGCCCGGGATCCCATATGGGCGCCGGTTCTAATCCCGGCAGCCCCACTTCCCTTTCAGCTCCCTGCCTGTGGCCTGGGAAAGCAGTCGAGGACAGCACAAAGCTTTGGGAACCTGCACCCGCATGGGAGACCCGGAAGAGGCTCCTGGCTTCGGATCGGCATAGTATCGGCCCGTTGCGCTCACTTGGGGAGTGAATCATCGGATGGAAGATCTTCCTCTCTGTCTCTCCTCTCTGTATATCCAATGAAAAATAATAAAAATAAATCTTTTAAAAAAAAAAAGCTCATCATAACCCAGAAAACTGGACTCTCTATTTTGACACGTTATGCAAAAACAGATAAAATTTTAAAACAAAATACAATTACCTATAAGAGAAGAAAAAACCAAGATACTCCAATGGCATGTTAGAAATTAAAGTTCCACCGAGGAAAATTAGCCCAAGAATCCTTACCTGCTGACGGCCCCAGGGAGGACAGTTCCAGGCATGGGAGGGGGCAGAACTGTACCGCTTATGTGCTTTTCTCAAGAAAAGAAATGATTTAAAGATTACCTAACCTAAGAGGAAGGAAAAAAAAAACAAGTTTTAAAATTAATTTCCTATTGCAAGACTAAAATCTTTCCCAGATACCCCTCTGCTGTGGTTCTGCCCCCTCCTGTTTCCTGGAACGTGCCCTCTCTGCTTTACCCTGGCTAATGCTTCTCCATCTGTTTCGACGTGTCCTTACCCTATTCTGCCATCTTGAGTCTCTCCACAAATTCTTAGTTTCAAGTTGAATCATGTAATAGTAAGCCTGTCTTGTTATGGCATTAGGAACTGAAGGTGTGTTTGTGCTCTCCAGCCTTGAAAGCGTGTAGCGGGCTACAGGGCTGTACAGCCCTTCCCGGCGTCTGAGGGGTTGGGCGTCCTCCAGAGGGCTCCTGTGGGGGAGAGAGTTCACAAGGCCACGATGGCTGGGCCACCTGGAGCCTCTGTCGGGAGCAGAACCAGCCACGTGGCTGTGGCAGCACCAGGAAACAACAGCCCATGTGGTTCTACGGGTTTCTGCGCATGCGTGATTTGACCATTGCACCATCTGCACAGTGTGCATGGATCAGAGGAGACCACTATTTCTTTTTTTTTTTTTTTAAGATTTTAAAAAATTTTTATTGGAAAGTCAGATATATAGAGAGGAGGAAAAACAGAGAGGAAGATCTTCCATCCAATGATTTACTCCCGAAGGGACCACAATGGTTGGAGCTGAGCCGATCTGAAGCAAAAAGCCGGAAGCCTCTTCCGGGTCTCCCACGTGGGTGCAGGGTCCCAAGGCTTTGGGCCGTCCTCCACTGCTTTCCCAGGCCACAAGCAGGAAGCTGGATGGGAAGCAGAGCCGCCAGAAAATGAACCAATGTTACCGGGACACAAACCAGTGCCCATATGGGATCCTGGTGCGTGCAATGTGAGGACTTCAGTTGCTAGGCTACTGTGCCAGTCCTGGTGGTGATTGTTTTAAAGATTTATTTTTATTATTTTTTATTGGAAAGGCGGATATACAGAGAGGAGAGACAGAGAGGAAGATCTGGTGGTGATTGTTTTAAAGATTTATTTAAAATATTTAAAGAGGGAGAGAGAGAAAGAGGTGTCTTCCATCTGCTGGTTCACTTTCTTAGGGCTGTGACAGTCAGTGCTGGGACATGCTAAGCCAGGAGTCAGGAACTTCATCTGGGTTTCCCATGTGGGTTTAGGAGCTCAAAACGCTTGGTTAAATCGTCAGTTTTCCCAGGCTATTAGGAGGCAGTTAGATTCAAACTGGAGCAGCTGAGGGTTCAGTGCAATCGCCTAGTGGTTAAATGCTCACCTTGAATCTGTTGGGATCCCATATGGGTACCGGTTTATAGCCCAACTACTCCACTTCCCATCCAGCTCCTGTCCATTGCTGGAGCTCTGGCCATAAGGGGAGTGAACGAGTGGATGGAAGATCTTTTCTTCTCTGTGTAACTCTGCCTTAAATATAAAATAAAATAAAATAAAATAAAATAAAATAAAATAAAATAAAATAAAATAAAATAAAATAATAAAAATCCTTTTTTTTAAAGTGGAGCAGCTGGGACATGAACCTGCGCCCATATTGGATGATAGTGGCACAAACTGAGGCTTTACCCACTATGCCACACCTTCCTCACACCCATGCCCCTTGCCCCGGATAACGGGGTGCAGTCTGTTGACTTGGGGTTTGCTAGTAGAATTGCTGTGCTTCTGCTCTGAAGTGCCAAAGCCAAGAGCAGGGCGAGGACATGCCTGGGCTCGCGACAGGCTGAGGTGAGGATAAAAGACAGTTATGCCGAGCCGCCCCAGGGAAGGGCTCTGGCAGGCAGAGGCCCAGCCCCGGTCAACAGAGCCGCCCCAGGGAAGGGCTCTGGCAGGCAGAGGCCCAGCCCCGGTCAACAGAGCCACTGCAGGGACCAACAAGGGCGCATCTGTCTGTGCAGGAGCTGAGTGACGCCCCAGGAAGCAGTGATGGAGCCTCAGGGAGCAACGCCCTGTGGCTTTGCACACAACACTGGCTCAGGCCGCGAGTGTCAGGCGCTTCCACTGAGGCTGGCTGCCACTGCCCACACTGCAGAAACCCAGGCACAGGGGTCAGGCCCCACTTCCCGCTCAACAACGCGTGCATGCACCCCTGTGCTCACACACACACACACACACCCACACACAGAGGGAGCAGATGACAGCACATTTATTGAGATTATAAAAATATAATAAATTATATATACAGAATGAAGCAATCATGTTGATAATTCAGACTTCACTGGCTGCACGCCTCACACCTTAGCCTAGGGCGAACGTTTCAAGTGTCACAACGGTAAATCCTCAGTGTTCTCACATCTGTGGGAGAGCCTCAGAGCAAACCTTTGCTGGCTTTGTTTCCAAATGCACAAATGACCCAGGGATGTGTATGCGGAGTGACAGCGCAGGGGACACAGCTGGCCCACCGCCCGACCCCCCGCAGGCTGGGACTCCTAGGAGCGTGGAGCGGGGCCGACCGCTCCAGCCCTGTGTGGTGTAACTACCGGGGGGAGACCTTTGTCATCACCCCTGCACAGCAGGGGCAGAGGCCTGCAGGATTCCAGGGAAGAATTCAAGGGTTAATGAAGCTTAGCTGTGGCGTTATAGCTTGCAGAAGTACCAAATGGATTCTGGGAAAAGGGGAGTCCAGTAAATGATGACATTCATATTCAGGACCCCGGCGGGCTCCTCTCACGGTGTGTCCCACATTCATTGGTGGGAAATTGCTTTTTGCGGCAAGTCTGAGCGACTTCCCCTGAAGCTTCCGCTCAGATGCATGAACAGCACTGGTTCTAAAAGCATTACTCACCACGGGGGGAGGGGGGTCTCCTAGAGGGCGCTCTGTAGGCAGCGCCGTCCACTTTAGCCCCCCGGTGTGGCCACCACCCAGCTGCCTGGAATAACCAAGGAAGCTGCCTAGAGCCTGCTGGGCTGTCAGCTTGAACTCTGCAAGTGTGAAGTCCAACAGCTACAGCCGTTAGGAGGGCCCAGTTTTGAGTTTTGTGGGTCCCTGCCCATCCTGCCCGTGCCTGGCTTTCCCTGCAGCCCCATCTCATCCCAGCTTCCCTGAGGTGCACTGTCCTGGCTCATGAATCCCAGATTAACCTCTCCTTTACAGAACTGCAACCGAGCCTGAGGCAGGAGAGGAGAATGGCGGAGAGCAGCCCCAACCAGGGCCTGGCTCCCTGTACCCCACGCCTGGACTCCGCTCAGCCAGCAGAGGCACTCCCGGAAAGCTCGGACACTCTCAGGGTCTAGAGCAATGCGTGCATGAATGGGAGCGGGCTGTCCCATTTTTCAGCCAAGTGGACCACTCATGTGGCTAAGCCTCCAAGCGGAAGGCCATCCCGTGGGGTGGGGGTTGAAGACCTCGGCCCCTGGACAGTGTATCTGATCGCGTAAACACAGGCCTTAGGTCTGGGTGGCATGCAGCAGCCCACAGGTGAGCTGCTGCTTCCTGCCTGGAAGGCCTCTGAGAGCTGGGGCGCTCTGGAGAGACAGATCAAGGTGCTCCAATGGAAGCAGAGACAAGAACAGACCACAGCAAACCCGCAACAGTACATGGCCAGCATTTCAGAGCCATCTCACCAAGCCACTGAGCTGCCTTCATCACATGGGTGGCCTCCTTCATCAGCCCAAGGGGACACTATCTCCCCCTTAATGGGCTGGCTCACTTTGAACGGTATCTTCCAGAAAATTTTGGCCGACCTATCCTGCCTCCCCCCGAGGTGTGAATGCCCTAAAGGGGGCCTTGGTGCCTCCTCTTTGTCTGCCCTCCATCCGTGGGGCGGGTCACTTGAGAACCCCACTGTATCACTTGTAGGACCATGGGCAGGCTTCCTAGCCGGGCAAAGGAACAGCTGCCACTCATTCCGCCCAGTGAGGGCCCAGGGAGTGGCTGGGTGCCCCTGACCCTAGGCCTTGCTCATGGACAGGGCTGCAAGACAGGCCTTCTTTCCCTCTTGCTCCTTAAAGCTGCCTCAGGTGAGAGGTGCCGAGTCGGAAAATGCCTCGATTCCTGGAAGTCTGCTGGCAGGCTCTCACAGCTCTGAAGGCCTCGACAGATCGCAGGCTCATCCCAGGGAGGACTCCCCAGACTGGCTCCTCAGGACGCAGTGATGGGCTGGGAAGCAGCTGGTACAACCCCTGCCCACTCCAGTATGTCTGCGCACAAGGACTCCACGGCATCCAGCCGCTCGATCTGAACCAGTTTGGTGAGCAGCTCGGGGATGCTGTAGCCTGCGGTGCTGATACGGTCGAAGAGCTGCATGCCGTCCGTCATGCCCCCGATCTCATCCCTCTTCAGTCCAAAGCTCTCGGCCAGGTGGCGCCACGTCTTCACAATGGCTTTCTCGGAGTTGTATGTGGAGCTGAGCATCCGGCTGGTCTTCTCCAGGCAGTCGAACGGCAGTTCCGAGGGGCTGAGACCTGCAGAGACCGGGCCACAGTCAGATGCGTGGATGGTGGGATTGGCGCGCGTGCGCGCGCGCGCGCGCACACACACACGCGCACAGCTTCTGCCTGCTTCACCACCGCCTGCCCTCCGTGTGCTGCAGCAGCTGGGGCTGGCCCAGGCTGAAGCCAGGAACTGAGAACTCACCACGGATCTCCCACATGGGCGGCAGAGGCCCCAGGACCTTCCTGAGCACCCACCACCTGCTGCCTCCCAGCTGTGGCACTAGGGGAATGCTGGGGTTGGGAGAGGAGATGGGCCCTGAACCCAGGCACCCGATACAGAATGAGGGCTTCCTCAGCGGTGTTGTAACCACTAAACCAAATGCCCACCCAGCTTTTATAACATCCTTGAAATGACAAAATGACCAAAACATGGAGCAGGGCAGGTGCGATGGCTCGGTGGCTAAAGCTTCACCTTGCAACATATGGGCACCAGTTTGTGTCCCAGCTGCTCCACTTTTCATCCAGCCTCCTGATGATGGTCTGGGAAAGTACAGAGGGTGATCCAAGTGCTTGGGCCCTGCACCCATGTGGGAGATCCGGAGGAAGCTCCTGGCTCCTGGCTTCAGACGGGCTCAGCTCTGGCTATTGGGCCACTTGGGGGAGTGAACCAGCAAAGAGAAAAATCTTTCTGTCTCTCCTTTTCTTTGTAAATCTGCCTTTTCAATAAAAAAAAATAAACATTTTAAAAAGTTAAGTAAAAATGGCTAAAAACGAAAGTCACTGGTGCCTGGCACTCACCCCAGAACAATAACATCAGGATCTTGGGGGAGGAGAGTGAGCTGGGAGGGTGCAGAGGCTGCGGGTCATCAGGGCTGGGCTTAGTTAACTTCAGGTTCGCAGCCTTGGCTAAGCAGCAGCATGGCACTGTGGGAAATGCGTGCCTGGTGAAAATCCGAAGCCACTCTTTGGAACACAGAGAACTTTCTGGGGTGATGGACTGTGAATGCCAGTCCCATCCCCCGCGGGAGCCTATAGCCTGCCCTGCCAGGCTTGATGGACAGGGCAGTAGCCAGTAGCCAGGAGGGATTCTTGACCCTGGCTACTGGCTCCCAGCAATCATTTCTGGCCTCAGAAGCCTCAGGCAGCCTGCCCAGGCCCAACCCACTCTGGGGATGAGGGCGGAATGGAGTCTGCTGACAACTGCCCGTGATAACAGGATGAAGGGAAACCCCTGACCCCAGCGAGGTCATCGTTAGGGTGAACAGGTCACTTGTGGACTGGACTGCACAGCAACTGGGAGTCAGAGACCTGGTTTCTGCCTGACTTGCTCACGTTCCTTGTCCCGTCGCCTCTCCCCTGCCTGGAGCATCAGTCTCACGTGGGGCTTGTGGCTGTGCCGCTCAGCAGGCAGCCTGGGTGTGTGTGTGCGTGTGAGAGAGAGAAAGAGAGAAGCTCTCTGCTCTAGGGGCATACTCCAAAAAATAGCTCAGGGGAATGGAATAAAAAGCTACATTTATTTTTTGCTGCAAAATTTTTGGAAATTTACACATGCAGGTAAAAACAGCTCATGGAGAATGGGTACTATGCTTATGAAAAAGCTATGCAAATATTTTGCAGCAAAATAAACTTCTTTCACTGTATCTTCCACAGACGTCTTGAAGTCCCTGGCACACTGTGAGGTCGCGACAGGAGAGGGCTACTGCTTATGTTGGACATGTGGCTGGTTCTCAAGAGTCCCTCCACCCAGGGTGGCCGTGTCGTCATGGGGACGGCTGCATTGCTCTGTGCCCTGCCCCCCATGAGCACCTGCACCAGGGCCACCTTCGGTATTGTGAGGAGAAGCCTGGGGTGGCCTCCTAAGGGCTGGGAGCCAACCTCTGCAGGCCAGGCAGGGTGGGTGCCCTCCTCAGAGCCTCTCTTGGGCATGTCATGGGAGACAAGGACCCTGCTTCCCAGCTCCCCAGCAGCACGTCTGTGCTCACCTTCCACGACCCCGCATACGTTGGCGTACACATCCAGTATCTTTTTCCTTCGACTTTGAATCTGTAAAGAATAGGAAGAGAGCATTAACATCAGAGCGGGGAGGGTTAACAGCAGAGCGGGGATCCCCAGGCAGCACTGACAGCTGGCAGCACTCCCGGGTCCATACCAGAACCCTCTCCTGACTCCCTAGGGCAGGACCCAGGCGGCTCTCTGACTCCTCAATGTCTCCCCAGGCCCTTCCAACTCACAGACTCCAGGGCCACTGCTAGCATCAGGTGTCTGGGCAGCTGGGCCAGCGGGCAGCAGGGCAGTGGTACCCTCTCCTCCTTGGGCAGGAAGACATGGTCCACAAAGACAGGTGCCCAGTGGCCCGTGGCCACCTCTAAGTCTTGGATCAACCCCACGGGCTGCCTCAAGGGCTTGCCTGTGGCTTGGCTGTGTGCTAGCCAAGTCCTCAGATCCCAGGGTGGCCTCGCCTAGGTGACAGAGTCCCATGGACAGTTCATACAAGGAGGCCTGTTTTATATTTGGATACACGCCAGTATACGGTGTTCAAAATGCTTGTGGAAATGCATCTTAAGAAAAACCAGGAATGAATTTCATGTATTTTAAGCACAAAAAAATACACTTGTTTTTAAAATTCCATCTTTCTAAGAAGTTTCTAAAATGCCCTCTTGGTCACTGAGGACTTCTTCTTATCCTATCCTATTTCTCACTTGCAGCCGCAGAGCAATACAACAGAAGAAAGAGAAGCTTGCTGGCTTTGGACCGGTCAGCTTGCCGGTCTGTCCACTTTGGGACTGTGCACCTGTAGGGGGAACACCTGGTCTTGGGGGCCAGGGTAGCGACCAGGAGAAAGGTGCTGTGTCCAGGGCGCATGCGTGGCTTACCCCGGCTGACTTGCTGCAGGGGGCAGACTTCTCCCTGGCCAGATGCACCAGGGACAGCAAGCACAGCTCTGGGGGGCCCTGCTTGTCAGGGGCCGGCTCCTCGTCGCTGTCCACACTCCGACTCAGCAGTTGCTCATTCTCCGAGGAGGCATCGTTCTCACTGCAGAGACAAAAGGGGGATGCATGGGGGCTGTCATCCGGAAAGCCAGCGCTCACAGCCACATCTCTGAGCTATGACACACCGGGGCAGGGCAGGCAAGAAGGACAGTCCCTGCTCTCTGCTCCTTTGTACCCAATGACTCGGATTCGGGAGCCGCAGGGGCCAGAGGATCACCACAGCGTGTGGGCGCCTCTATCTACCTCCGCTCTGACTCAGGTGGGTGCTCAGCACCCTGCCCCCACACAAGCACCTGTACTAGGGTGCTCGCTGAGCAAGCTCTCGGGTCTACATCAACTCCAGGAAGCACCAAGAATCGTGTGCAGGTGGGCCCTGAGTGTGACAGGTGCTCTAGACCCTGAAGCCAAGCAGAGCCCTGAGCCTGGAAAGTCCCCTCTTGGTCGTGCTATGACACAGCGAGCCCTGCTGGGCGCACGGTCTCCTGTCACACCAACCACGTGGGCCAGGTCCCCCCAGGACCTCTCCAAGCCATTCCATGTATGTGAAGACAACACTCTCTTTCCACAGGCATCTTGCTCAGTTCCTGTGGTTTGGCTGAAGACTTCTGTAAGAGCCAACAACCAGGTTACAGGAATGCATGTGCACGCCAGCACAGCCGTGGACACAGGGAGAGTACAAGCCACGAGAGCCCTACGGAACACTCTGCTGGTTAGGCCTTGAGGTTGCACAGGGCTCGGGGGGCCCGCCCCACCTCCACCTGGCACCTAGCACCCCAGCTCGTGATATGGCCACCATCCCAGCCTGTCCCCACCTCCACCTGGCACCTAGCACCCCAGCTCGCGGTACAGTCACCAAACCAGCCCACCCCACCTGGCACCTAGCACCCCAGCTCGCGATATGGCCACCGTCCCAGCCTGTCCCCACCTCCACCTGGCACCTAGCACCCCAGCTCGCGGTACAGTCACCAAACCAGCCTGCCCCACCTCCACCTCGCACCTAGCACCCCAGCTCGCGATGTGGCCATCGTCCCAGCCTGTCCCCACCTCCACCTGCACCTTGCACCCCAGCCCATGGAACGGCCACCGAACCAGCCTGTCCCCACCTCCACCTGCACTTAGCACCCCAGGCCGCGGTACGGCCATCGTCCCAGCCTGTCTCCACCTCCACCTGCACCTTGCACCCCAGCCCATGGAACGGCCACCGAACCAGCCCGCCCCACCTCCTGCCTCCAGAATTGGGCATGCACACTGGGAACAAAGGCTCCTTCTGTCTTCGGAACATGACGGTCAGTGTTAACTGTCATTCAGCGTTAGCGTATGAAAGCAGTATCCTTTTTTTTTCTTAACAGATTTTATTTTCTTTTGGTTTGAAAGGCAGTGTAATGCAGAGAGGAGAGACAGAGAAAGAGAGGAGAAGAAAGAGACAGAGAGGAGAAAGAGAGAGACAGAGAGGAGAAAGAGAGAGAGAGAGTCTTCCATCTGTTGGTTCCTGGCCCTACTCTCCCAAATGACTAGGAGTGCCCAGTCCAAAACCAGGAGCCAGGAGCTTTTCCCAGGTCTTCCATGTGGGTGGCAGGGGCCCAAGGCCTCGGGCCATCTTTAGCTGCTTTCCCAGGTACCTTAGCAGGGAGCCAGATAGGAAGTGAAACAGGATGCGAACTGGTGCTATGCGGGATGCTGGTGGCTGAGGCAGACGCTTAACTAACTATGCCACAAAGCTAGTCCCTATTCCTATTATTTAGTTGAAACTCAAGTCACGGGGTATACTCTGATCCTAGATTTAAATAAATAAATAAATAAATAAATAAATAGATTGGGGAGCTGGTGCTGTGGCGTAGAGGGTGAAGCCGCCATTGCAACGCCAAGGATCCCTTATGGGCACAGGTTCAAGTCTGGATGCTCCACTTCCTATCCTGCTCCCTGCTCATGACCTGGTCTGGCCCAGGTCCTTGGGCTGCTGCACCCATGTGGGAGACCTGGAAGAAGCTCCTGAATTAGGTCTGATCATTCCTGGCCATTGCTACCACTTGGGGAGTGAAGCCAAGAACGGAAGGTCTCTGTCTCTCCCTCTTTGTAACTCTTTCCTGTAAAAGAGTGTGCTCTGCTGCCATCTGCTGGTTCTCTCCCCAGATGTCCACAACAGGCTGGGCTGGGCCCAAACTGTGAACTGGGCTCTGATCCGGGTCTCCCCCTTGGCTGACAGACTCAGATACTTGAGCCAGTGTCTCTTTCCCCTGGTGTCTGCTTTGGCAGGAAGCTGAAGTTGGCAGCCGGAGCTGGGAACCCGATCTGGGTACTCCAGTGTGGGACTCATCTTACCCATCAGGCCACCCTGCACCAGCACCTCGGTCAGAGCCTAGAGCCAGTCCTGATGGCAGCAGCCTGAACCTGGCAGTGCCTGCCAGGTGTGTGTGTGTGAGAGAAAGAGAGAGAGAGAGCCACCCTTGTACCACCAGTGCTGGGAACAGCCAGTCAGCACTGAGCAGTTTCCAGGGAACCCTCCAGGAAGCATAAACTCGTTGGTACGAACTGGTGGCTGTAACTCACATCCCTCAAGAGGGATGCGGGGCTGATGTGTGTGTGCGGGGGTTGATGACATGCATGCTGAAGCTCTGCACTGACATGGGGACTCAGCAGGTGCTCTGGGAAAATGGAATCAAAAGGAAAGCAGGTTTTGCTGCAAAAAAATTTTCCAAACCCGTGCACAGTTTTTCCATAAAATGTGCTTCCCATGAGCTCTGTGAGGACTCTGTGTCCAGCTCCTGGGCAAGACTGTGCAGTGACACTGTGACCAGTGTCAGTGGCGGTGGGCTCACGTGGGCCAACGGTTCTCTCCTGGGCCTGGAGAGCACATGTGAAGGCTTTGGGGCCAGTGAGGCCCAGGACACCTGGTGGAGCCAGGCAGGAGGAGGGCAGAAGCACCTGCTGCTCACACACCTGCTAGTGCAGAGCTTGGAACCGGGCCCTGCCTTAAACCCTAGGGTGATGGAGCAGCCAGGAAGGTGACTGCAGGTAGCCCTGCCCAGCTCTCAGCCCAGCATCCCTTCCCGCTGAGCCCAGCTCTCAGCCCAGCATCCCTTCCCGCTGAGCCCAGCTCTCAGCCCAGCATCCCTTCCCGCTGAGCCCATCCCACACCCCCCAGGTACCTCTTGGTGGTCTTTGCAGGAGTGTTTGTCAGCTTCTCGAACTCATTCTTCTCAGAGAAAATCACCACATTGTCTAGGAGAACAAAGGGTTGGGGGAGCAGGGAGTGAGGGTGGGCCCTGAGGTGTCTTCGGCTAAGCTTGTCTTCACATCACCCCCCCATTGGTTCCCTAAAGAGCACTCACTGCCTGATGGCCTCCACAGACGGCCCTGGGGCAATTGCAGTGTGTATGGGGGGGACCCCAATGCCCCGAGTGGCCTGGGGGACAGGCAGGAGGCTGGGCAGCTGGGGCAGGGTGAGGCAGGGTGCTCACACTGTGGGTACAGACCTGGGGGTTCCTTCTTCTCTTCATCCTTGCTCACGGGGGCTTCCACGCTCTTGCCCGGGTGGCTGCTGCAGCAGGCTGGTGGAAGGGAAGACGGCAGGGTGAGAAGCCAGGGCCTCGGCTGGCAAGAGACCGAGCGAGGGAGGGCCCGGGGAAGGGGCGAGGGCGGGCACCTGGGGCGGAAGGCTTGGTCTTCACGATGTAGTACATGATGATGAGCACGATGGCAATGGCCATGATGAAGATGGTAGACATGGCGATGATGAGGGCCGTGGCCAGGTGTCCTTGGCCCGAGAGCTCTGCTGAGGTCAGGAGGGAGAACCAGGAATGGCCCTGCGGCTTCCTCCCCCCGGGCCATGCACCTTCACCCCAGACCCCGCCCTGGGGTGGGACAGGAGGAGAAAGTGCTTGCTGAGGCCAAGAACGCAGCCGTCCAAGAGTACTCTGACCCTCAGCACCCCATCTCTAGGCTCCGAATGCACCTGTAATCCTAGCACCTCCCAGGGGACCAAGTACCCCTTGGAGCCATCAGTCCCAGTCGGGGGCCCCAGTTCAGGCAGGAAGAGCTCAGCAGCCCATCCGCATTGCCATCAGGCCCCCACTGGCAGCTGTGCCCACGCCCCCTGCCTGCACACTCCCCTTACCTTTGTGGGCGTGCTGGAAGGGAGACAGGGTGCTGCCGCCCGAGGTGCTTGGCAGGTGCGCAGAGGCTCCTGAGGTGGCTCCCACACCTGCAAGAGGGACAATGCCACTTGTCAGTTTCAGGGAAACCCCAGGAAAGCATCCCCCTGGAGACTCAGGTGCCAGGGACCAGAGGCCTCAGCGGGAAGGGCTGACCACAATTCCAGACCTTGACCAGCTGGGGGCAGGGCAGGGCAGGGTGGAATAGCCACTGCCTGCTTATCCAACTCCACAGCCCAGGAACAAGCACCCAGCTCTTCTCCCAGTCACAGAAGGAATTCGTGATCATTCATTCTTAAAACTCGGGGAAAATGTTGATGTTTGGCATAATTCTGGCTAAGACTTTTCTGAAGCTTTGCTTTTGCTTTTTTTTTTTTTTTTTTAAGGTTTACGGAAAGAGAAAGAGAGACACAGAAAAAGAGATCTTCCATCTGCTGGTTCACTCCTCAAATGGCTGCAATGGCTAAAGCCGGGTAGGCCACAAAGTCAGGAGTATCTTCCAGGTCTCTCATGTAGGTGCAGAGGCCCAGGGACTTGAGCCGTCCTCTGCTGCCCTCCCAGGCCACAAGCATGGAGATGGATCAGAAACGGAGCAGCCGGGACATGGACAGGTCCCCAGATGGGAATGCCGGCACCACAGGCAGGGACTTAACACACTCTACCACAGCACCAGCCCTGGAACTTTGCTTTTAACAGAGTTGGGAAGGAATATTGCAAGAGCTGGGGTGGGATTGCCTTGCCCGTCTGTGGAAATGAGGCAGAAGTGACTTTGCCATCAGCTGGTTCGCCCAGGACCAGCAACACCACTGTGCCCCAGCAGAAAGGGGTTGTGGCACTCAGCCTGCTGCCAGGCCAAACCTGAGCTGTGCAATCAACAGCAGCAGTGCGTCACCTGCACGGAGACTCCTCTCTTGTTCTTGCCTTGTTCCGTTCAGAAAGATTTGTAATGCAGGTTCGCATATACAGGCAAGACCACAGCCCCTGCCATGTGCAGCCTGGGCCCTCCCCAGCCCTGCCCAAAGGAGCAGCACGGATCCGGTACCCTCGGCAGCCGACAGACAATGCTCCTGGGGGCTCCTGCACCTGCTCACTGAGGTTTCCCAGAGCTGTCTGCATAGCTAGTGGTGCGAGCAGCCGAGGAGCAGCGATCCCGCTGAGTTACCCAGCGCAGGTGCCACCAGAGAGAGGACCTAGACTCACAGTCCTTCCGCCCTGCACCAGCTGGGGGGAGGGCGCAGGAAGGCTTGGAGTCAGCAGGTGCAGGTGTCCAGGGCTTGTTGGGCGGCCTCCGTGGCTGGCTCAGGGCTGTATGTAAACGGAATTGTCCCTGGGGCATGGGAGATGTCCCTGGCCACAGAGGTGTCACCCGACGGGATGTTTCTGAGTGTCTCTGGGGGTGATTGCAAGCTTTACTCCCCTTGGGTGCTACGCTGAAGAAAGAGCTCTGCTCTCAAAGCTTTGTCCTTTTCACCTGGTCACAGACCTCACGTCCTGCTAGGGAAGGGCAGGTGAGTGGCTGGCTAAGAGGTGCCCCATGTCAAGCCACCCAGACACAGCTCAGCCGATGCCCACAGGCGTCCTCTACGCTCCCCTGCAGCATTTCCACGCGGTGGCTCCCAGAACCCCTCAAGAATCTGCAGGTGGCCCAATACTCAACATCAAACTACAGTCACCGTGCAAGGGGCACGAGAACAAGGGGTGGGGGGCGGGGGGAGGTGTTTAGCCACACCCGTGCCCCGCTCCCTGCAGGTCAGCAACCCCATCTGAGAGCCTGGAGCCCCTGGGGGCAGCAAGGGATGGAGTACCCCCTCCCGCCCCCGCCACTGTTAGCATCTAGTGGCCATGGGCTGCCTGGTTCCTGTGTGGGCCACTGGTGCAGAACAACAGCTCTGTTCAGACAGGCACTGTGCACAGGCCTGCTCTGCATGCTGCGGAGACCCGGCGGCACGGACATGGGAAACGGCGCGAGTGGAGCTGCAGGTGCACAACCGGCTGCGAACACAAGGCCTGCTGTAGTCAAACCTCGATTTCAGAGTGATGAAAGGACGCAGCGGCGCCCTGGGGGTGTGCTAATCTGCGCGTTTATGGTCGTGCCGCGGTGCGTTGGGCATTGTCTGGGGTTCTCCACCGAGCGTAAGCAGTTCAGCTATTTAGGACTGCGTTGTTTTGAGCTGTGGACCAGGGCGCCCGCCGCTGTAGCGTTGGAGGAGCGCCCTCTTGTGGCAGCTTTGGAAGAAAGGCGCAGAGTCACCAACATCTCGGTGAGGGCTCATTGCCTGGGAAGCCAGGAGCTTTCTGGAGTCAGGGCTGCTCTAGACCTGCTCTGCTGGGGGAAGAGTGTGCACGCCTAGGACTGAGGACTGCTTATGCAGCAGCAGCTGGACACTCACTCCGGGAAGCCGAGCCCTACGACTCCCTGTCTGTCCTACAAGTGCAGTGTGAACCTGCTAAGCAGAAGCCGGGGGATGCTCCGAGGGGCAGGGCGGACTGCAGAGGGCTAGTCCAGGCTGAACTCGGCCCAGGGGTTTCCAGGAGTGACTAGAAAGCAAAACACCAGAACCGCGGAACAATGGAACAACGCTGGGTCCTCTGTGAACTGCACACCGAACGCACGTGTGTGTGTGTGTGTGTGTGTGTGTGTGTGTGTGTGTGTTGCCTCTGTCCTAGGTGAGAAGGAAGAACTGGGTCAGATGAGGCGCTCAGCTCTGGGACCCTGGCTGAGATGCCTGCCTGTTCTGTAATGAGGACAAGCACCGCTACTGCAGCCGTCAACAAGCCGAGGCTATCGGCAATGGGTACCTGATGGTGTAACCCCACGGAATGTGCTGGTACGTTGCATCCAGGTCAAGGTCAAGCTAACAGTTTCTCTTTTGACTTCCTCAAGAAGTGGCTTTGATGTTTGAGATTTATGAAGCTGGTCACCAGACCAGCGGCTGACTGAAGCTCGCTCCTGGCCAGCCGCCACTCTCTGCCAGGGTGTGCCCCAGCGTCATTCGCATGAGGACCCGCTATGCGCCCCCGACAGGGGTTTGCAGCATCCTTCGTGTAAGGCCCAGCTGGGGCGGGGCAGGCCAGGAGGAGGCTGAAAAAAGGTGCTTAGGTCACACCTGCAGAAGGGAGCCCCCTCCTTGCCGAGCAGTGGACTCACCACAGTTGAACGGAACCTCTAACGCCCTGCAACGCCGTATAAGGCACAGCTCTTTGTCCCCCAGGCTCTGGGTGCGGCTTCCCCGGTCCTCTGTCTGTGCCAGACCGATGAACCTCAGCTGGGAGCGCTCCCAACAAAGCTTGTTTTAAACTGGACTTCATCCTGTGTGGGTTTCTGGCTCTGAACGTGAACTTGAGCCTACACTTCACTCACCGAGTAGCATCCCAAGGATGGCTGACAGACTCAGGGAGGCCATGGGCTGCTGGGGCCTGGACAACAAGCAGCTTCCCATGAGATCAGAAGTCCCTGGATCCAGCAGGGGGCTGCCCAGGGAAGGTGGCCCCGTGAGTCTGCATCTTGGTGACTTCCTGGGGCCATGGTCACAGCCACTGCATCTCCAGCTTGCAGAGAGCTGAGCTGAGGCTAATGTGATCTCTGGGTCCAGACTGGAGTCAAGGAAGTGGGGATCCCCTCGCATCAGTGACGAAGCTCCCACCCGGGGGGGCCCTCCTCCCCCTCCTCAGCTGGTGGCTGCACCCCGGATCCAGATGGGGATGGAGGCCTATGCTGTCTCCAGGGGATTCTCACAGGACCTGCTGGCCCCGCCCCGGAGTGACCCTGGCTCTGTTTCTCTCCTAACTCCCTTCACAATGGTATTCTAAGAGCCCAGCAATGAGGTCTGGCTGGGAATGGGGCTGCGGGGAGGAGTTAAGAGCTGAGGGCGGGGAGTGGGTGCACCTGTTTGCAAAGCCCCCAGAAGCAGCCCCCTGACTCAGCGTTGGGCAGCACCCATGTGACTAACAGCTGTCACACACCAGGGCCCCTCGGGGGTCGTTGCTGGTCCGTCTGGCACCTGTTTGAGGTGAAGACCCTTTTCCAGACTGATGGCAGGTGACTGACATTGTCCCAGCCAGTACTCCATCCAGGAACCGTGTGTCTGGGACGCGTTTAGCTTCCCTAAGAGGAGAGGCCTCCGCAGCAGTACCGACCTCACTCCAGATCTGGCGGATGGCTGGCAAGCCCAGGGCCCCTAGGTTCTGGGATTGAATTAGCAGACGGCTTCCTCGTCTTGAAAGATGTGCCAACCCGTCCTGGGCAGGCTGTTGCACTGAGACCTTACGGAAGGAGGGAATTCCCCCACCCCCGGACGGTTCAGCCGCGGGGTATCTCGACTTGGACGGCCCAGCCCAGCCCTAACGATGCCCCACCTACAGCACAGACCCCTCCTCCTGGACCTAGCCAGACACTGGGAGGGGCTGGACGCTCCGCGGTTCCGGGGCTGCTTCCCTTCATCCCGCGTGCGTGTCTCTTCACTCGCTCAGGGTGTTTAGGACAACGGGGTATGGTTGGGGCCTCACGGGCAGCAGAGGGTCCACGGCTCTTCCCTCAAGTGTTCCTGTGATCATGGACCAGACACCAGCTTCTTCCCAGCGGCCTTAGTCAGCCCTTAGACCACAACCTCAAAACACCACGCATCACCTCCCACTGAGTAGAAGCCGGCTGGCCCCCAGGCCCTTCCTCTTCCTTCCTGCCCAGGGTGGGGTGGGTGCTGTGAGCGTCAGCTGTGGCCCCTGCTCTGTCTTCCTGGCCCTCACCACTGGTCTAGCACCTGGGTCCATTGTGCGAAAAGGCTTGGCTTCAGGCCCGGCACAGTAACCTATGGCTAAAGTCTTCACCTTGCACCTGCCGGTATTCCATATGGGCTCAGGTTTATGTCTTGGGAGCCCCGCTTCCCCTCCAGCTCCCTGCCTGTGGTCTGGGGAAACAGTCAAGGATGGCTCAAAGCCTTGGGACCCTGCACCCATGTGGGAGACCAGGAAGAAGCTCCTGGCTTCAGATCGGCTCAGCTCTGATCTGAAACGGTGCAGCCAGTTGGGGAGTGAAGCTGCAGATGGAAGATCTTTCTGTATTGCCCTCTCTCTGTATATCTGCCTTCCCAATAAAAATAAACAAATCTTAGAAAAGAAAGAAAAGGCTTAGCCTCTGAAACATTGCTGGTTTTCCCAATGATGGCATGAGACGGACTGGTTAGGTTTTAGTACCCCGTCTCAGGGTAAGGAAGCTGGGACTCCCGCAGGCAAGTGGACTGTCCAGCCCTCTGGCTCGAGGCCCCCATGGTTAGGCGAGGTGCTGCTTCTCCTTATGTCTGCACTTCAACTAGTCAAGGCAGCTTGGGCCAAGGATGGGGCGTAGCCCGTAACAACCGCGGAACACCAATTTGGGGTTTGGTAGCTCCGCTTCTGATCCCAATGTCTGCTAATGTCCCTGGGAAGGCGGCGGGACACGGTCCAAGGACTTGCCATCTTGTCCCCTACCCCCAGATATGGACAACCCAGCTGGAGTTCTGGGCTGGCGCTTTGACACGGCCCAATCCCAGCTGGTGTGGCCATTTGGGGAGTGAAGCAGCAGATGGAAGATCTCTTTTAGTCTGTGGCTCTCTTTCAAAGTAAAATAAATCAATGTAAATAAACCTTGTCAGGTGCTAGGAAGGGCTCTGTCGGCCCCGTACTGGAAGGTGCGGAGGCTGGACCCGCACAGCCCTGGCACAGAGGACACTCACATTCCTTGGTGTTGGGTGGCGCCAGCAGGCAAGAGTAGCAGACCATGCCGTAGATGTTCCTGGGCCTGTTTTCCAGCATGTAGTAGCTACAGAGGGGAGACAGAACAAGAAGAGGATGAGGGGCAGGTAAGGACCCACCAACCGGCTGAGCCCCAGCCCGGCCTGCCCACTGAGTTTCCAGGACTGCTCCAAACAGAACATTCTTTTCACAGCACTGGGCCCGTCGGGCTCCTCTCTGTACCACCCTCCCTCGCTGCTTCCCTTCTCGATGGGCTTGTTGAGCGTGTCTGTCGCTACCTTCACAAAGACCACCTGTCCCTTTGTCAGCATCCTCCATGAGGCCGAGTGGGGATAGCTATGACGGCCATTCGTGAGATCCTGGGAGACCTGGAACTCTCAGACTGGCTGGGCGGTGCCACGCCCCAGGCCTGTGGAAGGCAGGACAGCCAGAGGGTGAAGTGGCGGCAGGGATGGTGGGGTTTGTGGAGGGCTTGCACAGAATCTGCCACGTGACCACGTGGTCTCAACGCCTTCTTTTGAAAGAAGTACTTGGCCCAGGCTCCTGCAGGCTTGCACTGGGTACTATACCACTGAAGTCCCTTAGAGGTGCCCCGGTCCATGATGTGGCCTTCCTCTCTCTCTCTCTCTCTCTCTCTCTCTCTCGTGCTTCTGGATGGCCACCATGCCATCCAGGGCTGGCCAGCATGGCCCATGCTCCTCCCAGCTCAGCTCATCTGTCTTGCTTCTCCCTCAAGGCTCGCGTCTGCTTCCCAGACCCTTGACAATTCAAGGGAACGAGGCATCCCTCTTCGCGGCTGGCTTCTTGCACGGTCGTTTTCTAATCTCCTTTTTATGAGCTGCGTACCACACAGGCCCCCCAGCCCCCCAGCAGCAGCAGCTGGGGCAGCAGCCCGTGTAGGGGGTGGGTATTTGGACTGCAGCCTTCCTGAGCCTGGCCCGCACCCAGTAACATCACGCTCGCTCGTAATTGCCGCCCTTCCTCATTGCCTTTCATCCTTGGGTCCCTGTGCATCTTGTAAACATTAATTAACCAATCTCAAAGCTCCCCCTTGGAAAAGCCTCCTTCAAACACCCCCGTGCGCTGGCTCTGTCCACGGGGTAGGGAGTCGCCCAGGGCCACCGTGTGCCCAGCAGGGCGCCCTATCCACTGTGTGGCCTCGGGAGGGCGACAGGTTTTCCAGATGCCTGCGTCCAGGCCCAGTGTTGGCACCTGTGGGCAACATCGTCCTCCCCTTCCCACAGGCCAGCTGCGGCTCCCTCTCTCCCACCAGGTCGTCACGGGCTCCTGCTGCATGGGCAGGCACCGCAGGGCAGGACCTGTTTGCAATGCTAGCATACAGCTGGGCGCGGCAGAAGGAAGTTTCTTGGTGGATGCAAACACAAATGGACAAGTTCTCCTTACACAATCCCAGAGTGCCACGGGGGCATCTTGGGAGCTTCGTTTCGTCTCTGAGGGTTGGGAAGCACAGTTGTGTCCATCCTGTGGGCACTGTCGGTGCTGGGCTCTGCTTCAGCTGGCAGGTGCCATGTACCAGGGCCTTAGGATCAGGTGCTCTGAGGGGCCTTGCCTGCAACCTGGGGAGCGCCAGGTGCTGCATCCTCGCCTTTGGCTGACCACTCTCACGAGGTGGTAGGGGGTCTCCTCATGCCCATGTGACTGCCAGGGACTGTATGCCTATGCCTGACCATGGCATTGGACCGCGCTATGCAGTGTATTCATGAACTCAGGGAAGGGCTAACACTTAAAGGCTCCGGGAGACTGTTGTGAAATTAGGTTGCTCCAACTGGCACAAGTGTTCAGCGCTGTTGGATAAGAAAAAATCATGCTTTTCTCTGAGCTGGCCAGGACCGGGGACCCCTTGTCATCCTCTGCTTGGAGTCGGGGTTCACCAAGGAGCTGCAGCCCCACGGAAGGGCGCCTGCTCCCTTTGTCTCGGGACAGGTTTGATGTCCCGCTGCTTGAGCCAGGTCTTTATTTTCTCCTACTGACCTGGGAGGCCCATGGTAAGCTGAAAATCTCCTCAAGATGGAGTTTTAAATGTTTATTCATTTCTGTCACTGGAAAGGCAGAGCGATGGTTGCGGGGAGGGGGCGTTCCTGCCATCCGCCAGGCTGAAACCAGGACACTGCAGCTCCATCATGGGCTTCCATGTGGACAGTCGGTGGCTGAACCAGGATTTGCTGCCTCCCAGGGTGCATCAGCAGGAGGCTGGACTGGAAGCAGAGCAGCTGGCATCAAGCTACAGATGCGGCCATCCCAAGTGGCGAGCTGCACCCGCTGCACCTCCAACACCAGCCCTGACCACGCATGGAATTCACCTAATCTACCGGACAGCCTTGCTTCGTGCCTCAGGCTTGCCCAGACACATCAGCCTGCAGCTGGCGAACGCACTGCACACAGGACCCGTTCTGTAAGAAGCTGTGGGCTGTCCTGCAGACCGACTAAGGTGTCCAAGTGGGGATGGACCGGGGCCTGACTACCTCCAAGTTGACAGGTTGAGATTTCCCCCCAAGATATCCTATTCTCGGGACCCTAAGCTTGCAGTGCCTGCGTGCCCACCACACTCCGGCCTGTAGACCAGCCGGGCTCCCCTCCCCGCTGGGGCTAGGATTGGGCACTGAGCCCAGGCAGCCGGAAGTTTCTCTGGCAGAGCGGATGAAACCCGACCTCTCCTCTCTTCCTCTTGTGGGTGTGCCCCCGCACCTCCCACGCACGCCTTCCCCAACAGGAAGGCCCCACGGGCTCTCTTTGTGGCAGGAGCATCTCAGCCCGGCAGAGCCTGCAGAGCCTGCAGAGCCCCTGGAGGACCTGCCAAGCCACAGGGTGGGAGCAGCATCCCCCTCCCCCCGCACTCCCGCTGCTAGCATCCTGTGCTCCTGTTCTCAGCCTGCGGGGTGCAGCGGGAAGCAGAAGCCAGCAGGCACTGTCACAAACAAGCTGTGAGCTCCAGGCAGGGGGGTGGGGACTGGGGGGCCACAGGACACAAAGGGACCCTCTGTCCTGGCGGCCTTGGGATTGCGTGTGACAGACTTAGGCAGACACAGCTCTCATGAGAGCCTCGATGGCTCAGACACGCGTGTTGGTCTCCTGGCTCAGCAGGTGCTCTGGGCTCCACAGTCTCCTGTGTGCTGACGACCAAGTGTGGACTGAGCAGTTCCTTGGCATGGAGGAGGCCACTCAGGGTGTCAAGGAGCACATGGGTGTCTCCCCACCCCAGGCCAGCAGCCGTCCATACTGCTTTAGTCTCTCTAAAGGCAAGTGCTTGGATTCAACAATCTGACACTTCCTAGGTAAAGGATCAAGCCAAGCAAATCCCCACCTTTGCTGCAGGATTAGCTGCTCATGTGCCCAGGCTGGCGGCTGCCAGGGGATGAGGGCACTGCGCTCATCCACACTCATTCTGTCTGACTCAAAACTCTTGGTGGTTCTTAATGACGAGGACACAGACTGCCCCACGCACACTCATTGCCCCCTCATTGCCAGCTGCCCACTGAATTCCTGTCACGTGACACATGCTTAGGGCTGACTGTGGCTGTGTTTGATCCAGGGCTGCTACCTGGCTGGCCCTCCACATAGCTGCCTCCTGGGATCCCATCTACTTGGGCTCCTCCGGCATCAATGGATGCCTACGGGGTTTCCAAGTCTCAACCCTCAGCTGTGATCTTGCCCTGAGTTTTGCACCTCCTTGCCTCCTTGGAGACCTTGGGCAGCTGTTGCACAGCCACCTCCAATTCTACACCTGCAGTCTCCATTCTCACTACCTCTCCCCAAGGCCTGTCCCAAGTCCTGGCCCAGAAGACACACCAGGGCCCTCTTCCGGTTTCTCAGTCCCATGGAATTTAATGTCGTGTGCAGCAGCACTTAGCTGCTTCTTGCTGTCCACATGGTCCACGTGGTGCCCTGCCCAGTCCTCATCATATTCCTAGCTCACTGCAGGCCACCAGCCTCTAGGCTCTGCTCTCCTCAGTCATCTCTTGTGCCATGGCACAACCAGATGGCTCCTTCCTCCAGCTCAGCAGTCAGCCTGCTGACCACAGCTCCATCCAGCGGATGGCTCAAGTCTTCAGGGACCCCCTCTTGGGGGGGGTCCATGGGGACCCAATCTGAGCCACTGGCCCTGTCCTGTGGCTCGGCCTGTTGAGCTCCGATTTCAACAGCTCTGCTCAGAGAGCTCCGACCTGCTCCTGAACCTGAGTTTAGGTTTTGCCAAGAGGGCTGTTTTCTTCCCAAGGTGAGCTTGGCCAGGTCTACATACTTCTCCAGTTGAGCCATGAAAAACCCTGAGCAGTTCTGTCCCGGGGGAGGCATTTGCACCCATGAGATCAACAGGAGCGCTCAGGTCCTAGGAAGCATGGCAGCTCTCAGAGTGATTCTAGATCTGATGCCAAGATCCCATTGGCCTCCCCTCGCTCAGCACCCACCAGCGTCTACACAGAGTTCTCCGACAGACACTGCTGCGAGTGGGTGTGGATGCGTTGATTCTGGCTCCTGTAACACGTATGTTAACTTGGATGGAGTCCCCACATACAATAACCAGACGGCCTGGCTAAGGGACTGCTGTCTTTGCAATAGCATCTTCTCTGCTAACAGCCCCTGCCTTTTGTGTGCGTACTGAATAGCAAGATGTATCTGGCGGACAGTCATTTGCATCACGCTGTGTGTCAGTGACATGGCAGGGCTGTCCAACAGACATTTGGACATGACTTATAGCTCAGGTGGCGAGCTTGGACAACGGCATCCTGGCTGAGGGCAGCTGGAGGGAAGGTGTTCAAAGTCACTGAAGTGAGTATTTCTCAGTAAAAAAAGGTGAAGTTAGGTTATTTTCTGAGTTTATAGTATTTCACTTTAAAGCATTGATTCAGCTTCTATTTTCAAGTTGAGGGGGGTGTCTTTCTACTTTTTTGGAATTCCTTCTTATAGGCTAACACTCAGTGTTCTCATTTGATATGCTGTTACTTTCTTCCTCCTCCGAATTCTATAAAATGGCCCAAAAATGATTCTAGGAGGCCAACGTTGCGATGCAGTGGGTTGAGTTACCATATATAATGCCAGTGTCCCACAAGGCATGGTTCTAGTCCCAGCTGCCCCACTTCCGGTCCAGCTCCCTGCTAACGCAGCTGGGCACGCAGCAGAAGACAACCCGAGGGCTTGGGCCCCTCCCTTCGAAGTGGGAGACGTGGATGAAGCTCTGACCGGGCCCAGTCCTGGTCCTCAAGTCATCTGGGGAGTGAACAGACGGAAGATTTCTCTCTCTGTCTCTCTCAACCTCTCTGGTCACTTTACTTTCAGATGAATAGAATGAATCTTTCAAAAAAAAAAATCGGTCTAAGGAGACAGAATGGATGCAAGCACAGTGAGAACTGTGGCGTGCTGTTGAAAACCCTGCCATGCTCATGGCCACTACCTTCATTTCCTCCACCACCTGCACGTGTCCCATCACGGCCATCACTTCCCATTCTCCCTGTGACTGCGCCATCACCTCCGTCATCACCACCGCTTGTGTGTCATCACTGCGTCACGTATACGTCACCACCATTGCCCTGCTCCTCCTTGTGCCACCAGCCCCTCCACTGCCTGCACCTGCACCATTAACCCTCACCACCACACACCTGTCACACAGCATCATCGCCTTACGCAGCTCCCCGCACCTCCACCATCCCTTCACATCAACTCCCCTTGCCTTGTCATCACCACCATCGCCTCCACCACAGGCTCCCCCGCTGCTTTCCGTCTCCCTTGTAACTCCTGCAAAGTGCTATGATTTGTAGCAGTCACGGCTTAGCATGCACTGCTGGCAAAGCTGTATGATTTCCCGACCCAGGCAAAACTTTGGCACATCTCCTATCTGGAAAAGCAAAGGCTTTATAAACTTCCTATCTTTCAGGTTAATCACACGTCTGTTTTTTTAAAGACTTCGGATACATAACCCAATTGGGATGGAATTATGAGCACCAAGCTATTCAAGAGATTTTTATTAACAGCTTTTTCCAGATTCCTAACACCGATACAAATGATAGTTTCATGTGGAATTTTAATTTTCCCTTTCTCCAACTTGGGTCACACATGCCGTAGCATTTTAAATATTCAACCAGCCTGTTTGATTCGGGTGATCGGAGCACACCGTTGAACGGGCCCTGGGATGGGGCTCCAACGCTCCACTTACAGAACGGCGCAGATCCATTGCCCGGAGTATTTGGGACTTTGTGACGGAAGCCCCCGGGCTCTGCTCAGGGCTGCACTTACCCAGGCAGGCACGGCCCACACTCAGCATCGTTCTCTGTGTCGCCTGGTGTCAGCACGGTGGCCCGGAAGAAGCCCTCGCAGTCCTTGTGACGCCTGCATATCTGGTAGCCTCCTTTGGAAAACTTCTCAGCTGGGCAGGGGACACAGCCGTAGTCCTCGTCTTTGGTACCATAGCCGCAAGACTGGGGGAGGTAGACAGGGCACTTGCAGGTGAGCAGTGTCTCCTGCAGGCCTTGGCTTCCCCAGCTCCAAGCCCATCCTCCCTCCCCGCACGCTTCGTCCCTGAGCTAAGCTCAGTGGGCTCCTGAGTGCCCCGTCCGTCCCTGGTGGTGTCATTTCCCCCAGCTCTCTGACAGCCGCAGTGGTGTAGCTGTACCATCCAGTAGCTCCTATTCCCCCTGTAGCCTTCTTGCAGGAGAAGTGAGTGGTCAGTCGCCTACACACTGCTAATGGCTGCACAGCATTCCGGTCCCACTTCCTAGTTAGACGACCTGCCGCTCGTGGAATTCAGTAGGGTGGGAAGGCCACTCTTGGCAGAGTTGAAAAGATCTCCCGAGTCATCTGTCCTTTGCCTGGACTGGCTCGTCGTAGCTCATGCCACCTCACCTTGTGAGCAGGGACTGCCCCCTGGCTGGCTGTTACCTGAGTGATGGCACAGCACTGCTGGCACAGGTGACAGGTGCTGTGGGCAGCCCCCTCCTGCACTCCCCCCAGAGCCCAGCTGGTCCTCACCATGTAGGGCTCCTCCCCTGGTCCACAGGGGGGACACGGGTGGCACAGTCCGGTGGTCTGGTTGTGGTACTCGTTCTCCCCACAGTTGGTGTATTCTGCCTTGGCTGAGCACACGAGTGACACCTGTAATGAAAGTGGAGCGCTCATGCAACCTTCTGGAAACCCACCCATTTCCCTGCTACAGGGGAGGCCGCGGTGAGTGGGTGGGTGGGTCAGGAGGAGGCCCCTGAGGTGCTGGGGGCTCCTCTGGGAGCTGGGGCTGTCTGGATAGGGGTTCCATTGTGAGGTTCACCCACAGTGACCCAGAAGGACCCTCTTGCTGGAGGCTGGCGGTTCCACGTGATCTTTCTTCACTTCTTTCCGAGCTCATGGGTGAGGCAGTCCCACCCCAAACCTCCAGAGCAGTGGCCAAGGGGTGCCCCACCTGAGCCCCGGGCTCTCTCGTTGTCCAGGTACCGGCTATGCGGTTCAGACTAGTGCTGGAGGAGGTGCTAGCCTGCATACCCTGCAGAGGGAGCCCTTGACTAAGAGCCCAGAGAGGGCTTCTTAGGGGCTTCCAGGCCTGGGCCTTCTCCACCCTCCAACAGCCCTCCTGTTGGGCAGCAGTGGAAACTGGGTCTTAAGTGGCTGAGCCAACTGTCCAGGGTCATGTCCTGGGGAAGGGTGGAGCCCACAGCGCCATCTGGAGGAGGACGCAGTTTTCACACTCACCACCAGGACCGGGAGCCAGGGCGCCCACGTTGACTCTCCCTCAATGGCCATCTTCCTCCGGGGCCTCACCTGAAAGACACACCCGGTCAGCATTGGGTGGGCACTACGGGGTGCCCCAGCCTCGGCTGCGGCTGCCGCCTCATCTGGGTCCCACCAGGGACAAGGAGCCCCCAGGAAATGGCATGGGGAACTCACTGAGCCTGGCCGGGTGGCTATGGGGCCCTTGCCAGGGTCATGCCACTTCCTGCAACGGGGAAGGGCTGGGGTTCACGGGGAGCCTCATGCCACATCTCACACACTCACCATTAAGAAAATGTGTCCTTCTGGAGACTTTAAACATCAGGTGCCCCCAGCTGGTCCTAATGCCTGGACCCCAGACCACAAGGACATGCCAGGAAGCAAGGCCTGGCCCCTTGCTTGGGTTCAGCCCCACTGGGAGGGTCCTTTGAAGAGTGGTCATCCATCAAGCAGACAGAGACGAGAACGTAAAGCAAGTGGAAGGCTTAAGTTGCACAGAGGATGGCCAGGGCCTAGGCACCTGGCTGCCCACTGCTGTAGCATGCCGCTTTCAAGGAGGGGGCGCTTACTTCCCCCACCCCTGGGAGGGGGGCTGCATTCCCATCAGAGCAGTTTGACCCATGCCTTGGGCACTAACCAGCTTGGCTCTGCAAAGAGAGACACCACCTCCCCTAGCGGCCACTCTGGGTAGCTGTCGCCTTGAGTTGACACAGAGGCTGGGTATATGCGGAACCTTCTGGAACTGAGAGACCAAAAACAATGTGTGCATTGGGACCCCCACCAGACTCTTAGGTCTTGAAAGCCCCTGTCCTCATGGGGTCATTTTGCTCCTGGAAACCGGGGACTCCTGGAGACCACGCAGGGTGGCTCAAGGCAGGAGACCCTGGGACTGGGGGTGCTGCCTGCTTCCCCCACCAACCCCGAGTTTCGTCCCTGCCGAGTACCAAAGGTGTTAGGGGAAGAGCAGCCAGGTGGTTATCTCTTGGAAGAGAATTAAGAAAATTGGACAAACCAGGGACATTACTTGGAATGGACGGCTGGGACAGAAGAGTGGGGAAGACAGACAGAGTGAAAGAGAGAGAGACGATAAATGCCCAAGGTGTTTGTACACAATCCTCTTTTCTGAAACTTTCAGGACCTGAGGCTTTGCTGGGTGAGATTTCAGAAGGAGGGTGGCTACAATGCAGGCCAAACCTCCACAGCATACTTCTCTTTCTAGCACTGACAAACCCTTTAGAGCAGCAGGCGTTGAACTCCACTTGCCTGCCGGAGGGGGGCGCTCTGTTGCACAGCAGCGGCTTCAGAGAACTCCCCATAAAGGTCTAGGAAGACTTAGTGGCCGGCAGTGACGGCAGTGACGTAGAGGGTGGCGGCCAGGGACCAAGAAGAGGGGACAGCGTGGTGCTGGCTGCTGTGGACTGAGCCAGGTGACCAGGGAGTGCCCTGGGGCTTGGCAGTGCCTCTCCCCTGCTGGCTCATGCAAAGTGGGACTTCCTTGAGTCTCTATGACCCTGCTCTGCCTGACACGTTTGTCGGGACAGACCCGAGAAATGGTAGGACCTCGGTACGTTTTTGAGTCTCACCAACATCATTGAGAGAAACATTACTGCAAGGGGCAGTGCTAGCTGGAGGGCTTCCGGAACCTCTGCAGGCTACAAAGGCTTGCTTTCTTCCACATTCAAGCCCACCGTCCAGCATTCATCTTTGGAAACACTGAAAAAAACTGAAGCAAGATGAAAGCACCCAGCCAGCCACCCAGTGGTGAACTCGCTGGGTGTTTTCCTTCTAGCAACAGGGCAAGCTGGGGCAGGCAATGTGGGAGAGCCAGAGAGGCCTCCGGGGGTGCGGCAGCTCCACCAAACAGGGGACAGGGGCAGGTGCCACAAAGGCCAGTTAGGGAGCGTGTGGGGCCCGGCTGTGCCAGCTCCACAGCCCCTAACCTTGTTTTTAGGTGGGCTTAGCAGAGGTGGGCTTCCGTGCAGTCAGCAGAGCGGGCCAGGGGCCCTTGGCAGTCCTGGAGGCCTTCCAAGAATGGTAATCACAGATACTCATTTAATTGACTTCTAATTATAGCTGAGTCTGGGAGGGCTTCCCTGACATGCAGGGGGAGGGCTGAGCCTGCTGCACCCGGGGTGTCAACCAGGAGCCTTTATTGAGGGTCTTGTTAAATCTGTTCTCAGGTCAACCCGAAGAGACAAAAGAAACACAAATAAATAGACAATGTGAAACAAAAAGTCTGCGGCTTTGGAGACACTTGGGTCATTGTTGCCAATTCTCCTAGGCCAGGGGGGCTGCTGGCGAAGGAAGCTTGGAGAAGTCCCCTGCTGGATGCCCTGCTTCTGGAACTTTGGGGTACAGGCCAGCGTGGCCACAGCCATTACTCTTTACTTTGAGGGACTCCCAGGCTGCCATGCAGGACAGCAGGTCTGTGTTGCAGCCAGAGTTAAGAGCCATCAAGCTTAGACAGAGCATCCTCCCAGCCCTGTGCTTGCTTTGAGCCCCTGTAATTCAATGGCGGCGGCGAGATGGGGGTAAGCTCTGCTGAGCCGCTTCTACCTGCAGACGAGGCTGCCACACAGCTGGTGGAATTTGCCAGCTGGCCACTGAAGGATCAGGATCCCCAAGGGGCTCGATCAGCTGTGGTTCTTGGAGTCCAGCCAAACCTGTTGGCTACTTGGTATGTCTTCCTGATGCACCAAGGACTCTAGGGGCAGCTAAGCCCAGGGCAGCCATCATGCACGCAGCCCTAGATTTGCTGGTCTATGCCCCCTTCCCCTTGTGCTGTGTCCTCCTCTTCCTCTGTCTGGTTCCCGTGTACCAGGACGACACACCCATACCCACCCAATGGTTGGACACTCCAAACGCAAGCATCCAATAACTTCAAACGCTCAGAAATCAGAAGCTTCTGGAAGTGCTGACATACTGCTCCTGAAGTGTCAGATTCTAGTACAATCTTGATTTAGATGTTTGGATTAGGGGTGCTCTGCGAAAATGCATGCCAACATTTCCAAACCCCAAAACCCCGAAGTCTAAAACAGCATTTCAGAGAAAGGATGTTCAACTCACACAGCTCGGCCCGAAGCGGCCTTCCTGCTTCTGAATGAGTGAGCAGCAAGCACCTGGGGTGTGCACTAACTCGATTTCTTTAAAAGGATCGAGTAGGCCTGCGGGTGCCCACTTCAGCAAGTGTTACTTTCTGTGTCTGTCTGGCATCTCTACATCGGCTCAGAGGCGGGACGGGCTTTCTCCTCTGCCCCTCTCCAGCTGAGCAAATGCTGTGAGGCCTCCAGGGGGCCCTGCATGGGGAACGGGTGTGGGACACCTGCCCAGGTGAGAGGGGGGGAAGGACCAGTGCAGCCGTTCTTGCATGCGAGCCAGGAGCAGTTGCTGGCCTCCTCCCTGCGTCTGTAGGCAGCCTGGCTATTCGGGCAAGGCTTAGCCACTGGTCGCACGGGGAAGGCCCGGAGATAGTCGGACCCTGCCGATCAGAAGCGGGACCTTGTACTGGTGGCTTGTTGAAAATGCAGAGTCTCAGGCTAGATCCAGTGCCTGGGAATCCACGTGCTAACCAGATCTTCCGGTGCCTGCGTGCACACTCAAGCTCCAGAAGGCACTGTCTGGCCCACCTCCTAGGAACATCTTGCTGGGGCCCAGGGCTGGGGGCTTAATGCTTAATTACTGCTGAATTCCCCTTGGGGAGGCAGGGGAAGCGTTGGTTGGCATGCCCCCTCCTTAGCTCTCAGGAACCAACCTAGACAGCGCGATCCCCCTGATTTTGTAAATCAGCTCTCCCATTCACTTACTCATCATGTATCTGATAAACATGAGTGGTGTGTGCATCTCAAAGAGGTTCAAACTGCAGTCACCTGCCGTGCGCCCTGGGCGGGGGGGGGTGCCCCCTCCCAGCAGAGGCCCTCCCCTCTGACTCCTTATCCTTGCAGACCCGTATCTGAAGACAGAGTAGTGCGGATGGCTGGGTCCTGCTTTCCTGTCTGGGTTGCCTGCCTCCTGGGAAGAAGGTGCCATCTTCCCTGTCAGTCATGCAGAGGCACTGCGTGCTGGCAGACAGCCTGGCCAGTGGGGCCTTCTGGTTCTTCTTGCAACCCTCGGCTCTGTGGGCTCTCATAAGGATGAGGACACTGCCCTGACCGCCTAAGTCCACACCATGGGGCCTGTCCACCTGATCCTAGGGGGAGGAGTTGAGACAGCCTGATTGGGGGTCTGAATGCCTCCTCTGGGGACCCAGAGTTACTTTTGATGCCTGGTACCCTGGCAGAGTGGGAGCCTACTGTTGTCCCCTACCCCGGCTCCTAGGGAGCAGACCTGTGCTGTGGGCTGCTCTGCAGGCTTAGCCTCCCTGCCTGCTGGTCCCCTGCTGCCTCCGTGGCTCTGGCCTCCTCCAGGAAGCTCCTCCCAGCACACTAACCAGATGCCTGGGCCTACCCCCAGAAGGCACCCCCCACTACTTCTCACCAACAAAGGCAAACCTTGATCCCCTAGCAGGAGCAGTTGACAACACTTCCATGTGCTATGATTTATGGGAAGGGGCTCAGTGAGGTGGTGCTAATTAATGCTAGATTGTCAGGCAATGAAGTCACTCTCCTGGCGTTTGCTGCAATGCAGAGGGAGGGGAGCAGGGAGGGGTCCCAGCTGGAAATTCATGGCCCCCATAGGCAGTTGGCACAGTCTCATGCGTGAGAACAGCTACTCTGGCTGGGCAGGTGAGGACCCTCAGCACCAGGACCATCAGCACAGAGTGGCTGGGACAGGTCCCTTCCAGGCTTGCCAGACGGCAGAGGCACAGAGGAGCAGGCTGGCCCGGGAGCAGCAGGCACTGCAAGGCACCTGGCAAGGCTTCGCCGTCAGAAGCTGCGGGCGGCCAGGCCCTTGTAGCATCCACACATGCTTGCAATGTTTATTTCAGGTTGGAAATAATAACAACTTTAAAAAGGTTCGTGGAAAATGAGGGTCAAAGGATATACACGTTTTGGTACCTTCCCCCCCTCCAAAAAAAAGTTGAAATCCACACTTCTGACTTCATGGAAAAT